AACCCACAGCTTGCTCCAGAACCTTCCCCACGTGCAGCCCTTACCCCTGGTACTTGCTGACTGGACTGGCCTACAGGGACCTACGACCTTCTAGACTATACAGATCTACAGACAGATTCCTGTCCTCAACAGACTTCGTAGAAGCTTCTAGAACAAACTTCCTAAGCCTATCGGTAACAGACCTAGCTGCTAATCTACAGACCTAGGGATCAAGTCCTACTGCCCAATCTACAGACTAATCTGGGATGTGAAACAGGTCTAGGGATCGAATCCTACTCAGCACACAGGGTCTACGTACAAGTATAGGGTAGGTCTAGGGTTCGAATCTCACTTAGCACACGGGATCAATGTACAGGGTTGTGGCACAGGTCTAGGGATCGAATCTCTATGACTGCAATGTCAGGTCAACTGGGTGAAACTGTTTCACTCGCGCCGTCCTAAATTCAAGGTCCTCCGAGAACACCCTAACTCATGGCAGGACCTTTGCCCTTTCTTTCCCTCTCATAGGCGTGTACTATGTCGGGAGCGGTTTCCAAAGCTCTGTTCTTGTGAACCATCGGTCGTCCTCGGGTTCCTGGTATGCGAACCGAACTTTATACTGCTTCTGGGGACGACCTCGACCTCTTGTCCTTAACACGTCCTCTTCCACTATGTGATCTATATCATATGCACCATCCATGTCTGGCGGAATCATCGATCTCCTAGTAGGGAATCTGTCAGATGTGGTGCAGGGTAACAACTTAGATGCATGGAAGACTGGGTACATGTGGAGGTGTGCTGGAATCTCTATAGTATATGATGGGCCGTTCTCTCCTCCTTTGACTTCTAGGACAGTCCACGGTCCTCTATACGCAGGTAAGAGCTTCTGCGAGATGTTTCCTTCAGGTGCGAACTCCTTTGACTTGACCCAGACTAGATCGCCTACCTGAAAATGTGAAGGTTGGCGATGCTTGTTAGCTTGCTCTATCATCTGATGCTGGGCCTTTCTCAGATTGTCTATGACCTTAGCGACTTCCTGCTCATGCTGTAACGCAAACTCTCGTGTGTCGGGTGGTAGCCTGTGTATCTGGTCCTGGTTTAGTCCCTCAAATGGTCGCCTTGGTCTAAAGGATTTATGTAGCTCGTTAGGAGTCCTGGAGGTAGCTAGATGAACACTGTTATTGTAGGCACTTGCTACTTTGGGAAGCATCTCATCCCAGTTTATCTGATCTGGTCTAATATACATTCTAAGTAGCTGTTGCAAGATCTTATTCATCTGCTTTGTCTGGCCATTAGTCTCTGGGTGTCGTCTTAACGACATCAACAACTTAGACCCATAGACTTTCATGAGATCCTGCCAATTCTGACTCGTAAACCGCGTGTCCCTATCACTGACTATGGACAGCGGCATACCATGCTCGCTTACCCAAAAGTCGAAAGACTTACTAATGACTAAGTCTGTACGTGCCTTTGAAGGCAGGGGAACAAATACTGCATACTTGCTAAACCTATCTACTATGACCATTGTCGTGCCTACTCTTGACCCCAGTATCCATGAAGTCAATGGAAACTGAATCTCCGGGTCATGACGGAATAGGCAAGGGTCTCAGAAGACCTAGTGGGGCTCTGGTTGTAGTTTTTATTCCGCTGACATACCTTGCAGCTGCGCACATACTCTATACAATCTGCTTTCATGCCTGGCCACGTATATGACATCATCAGGTTAGCTAAAGTCTCTTGCCATCCAAAGTGCCCTTCCGTATCATGTCATTCCCGTAAGATCAGACTACGGATCTCTTCACTATTGGGGACACATAGTCTGTCAGCGACATTAGTCTTCTCAAATAGTAGCCCATTCGTGGTTCGGTAGTGTGGCTCACAATCGGGGGCTTCCTTTACTCTCTTCAACAGCTCACTGTAGATCGGGGCCTGTGCATAGGCATCTCTTATTTTCTGCTGCAGATCGGCCCCTGTGTCTAGGTAGTGCACTATTGCGCCGAAGTAATCAGATCCCCTACTTAGCGCATCAGCTACCACGTTATACTTGCCTTTGATGGGTTTCAACTCAAAGTCATACTGGTCTATCTCAGCAGCCCATCTAGTCAACTTGGGCGTCATCTTGGCCTGTGTCTTTAGCCATCTAAGAGTCTCGTGGTCTGAGTAAACCTTGAAGTGCCTCCCAAGCAAGTAATGTTTCCAGTGCTCTAGAGTCTTCCTGAGAGCGTAGAGTTCTCTTTCATATGTCAATGTTGCGACTTTCTCTAAGGGCAGCCTGGCTGACATGAACTCTACGGGCCTATAACTGTTGCCGTCATCTTGCTGTAAAACGGCGTCTATGCCATACTGACTCGCGTCTGTAGTAACAACGAATGGTAATGATGGATCAACAACTTTGAGGACATGGTACTCTATCAAAGCCTTCTTCAATTTCTTGAAGGCTGACGTACAATCTTGGTCCCACTTCCAGATAGTCTCTTTCTTCAGAAGTCTACGAAGAGGAGCAGCGATCGTGGAGAAGTTCCTCACGAACTTCCTGTAGTAGTTAGCTAGTCCTAGGAATGAGCGTAACTTTGTCAGCGTCTTAGGAGTTGACCAATCTGTGATGGATGCAATCTTGCTGTCCTCAGGCCGAATGTCATCGCCGTCTAGTACATGGCCTAGGTAAAGGACCTGTGTCTTGGCCCATTCGCACTTCTTCGGGTTAATCTTGAAGTTAGACTCTCTCAACTTGCTTAGAATCTGCTGTAGATGGCCCTCATGTTCCTCGAGGGTCTTGCTGAACACTAGGATGTCGTCTAGGTATACTACGACGAACCTATCTAACCACGGTCTAAACAAGTCGTTCATGCAGCGCTGGAATGTTGCCGGTGCGTTAGTAAGTCCAAATGGCATCACTGTGAACTCGTAATGCCCATATCTCGTCCTGAACGTCGTCTTATACTGATCGTCAGGGTGCACCTCTATCTGATGGTACCCCGATTTCAGATCTATCTTCGAGAAGTACCTGCATCCCTTTACTCAATCCAGCAAGTCATCTATACGCGGTAATGGCTCTGCATTCTTAATCATGATGGCGTTCAGTCCCCTGTAGTCTATACACATGCGAAGCTCTCCCTCCTTCTTTGGGACAAACAAAACAGGTGCGCCAAACGGTGACGAACTAGGCCTGATCCATCCTTTTTCTAGGAGTTCATCTAACTGTCTGCGAAGCTCCTCTAACTCCTTGGGAGACATCCTGTAGACTGCCCCCTTAAGCGTTCTACTGCTAGGTTCTATCTCTATACGGTGCTGGATTGGTCTGGGCACTACTCCTGAAGGTGCTTCAGACAAGTCCTTATATTCTTCCAGCAAACTGGCGATAGAAGGATGGATCTTTTCCTCTTCCTTTGGCTGATCAGAAATCGGCCTAACATAGGCTACTAACACCTGCTCTTCGAGTTGCTCCTTTTGCACAAGTCTGGCGAATGCAGGAGCGCTGAGGCAGCAATGGGCGAGGGGATTATCTACCCCGGACTCATGGAACAAGCGGACTTGCTTGACTTCCCCTGACGCGCTAGGGAGCCTACACTCGTGCTCTCTAAGGTGCAGTGTGGCTCCTGCTGCCTCTCCCCAATCTGTACCTAGAACAATGTCAAACGGGAGACTCTCTTCCATGAGGAGGGTCAAGGAGTGCAGTACCTTCTCTACCTTCCCATCTTTCTCTAGGCGAAAGTAGGCGTGGACCCCCTCAACATATTCTTCAACACGCATCCTGCTGTTGTCTGCAAGAATGCTGACTACAGGTTCCTCTAAGCGTTGGACTTCCAAATCAAGCTTAAACTTCTTCAACGCTCGACGACTGATATAACTCCTAGTCGCCCCACTGTCTATCAGGGCACCTACTCTAGCTCTAAATATTTCTACGTCTGCGAGGATTAGCTGTCCTTTACTGTCCTTCTTCATCCTGGCCCAGGCTTGCCTCCTCTCTCTTAACTCCTCGACTAAGCCTGTGAGGGAAGCGTTTAGAGAGACCCTAACACAAGCAGTCTCTGGACAGCTTACTAAACGCTGGCCTGCAACCTCTGCCATGGAGATATGTGGAGTGGGAGACTGTACTTCACGCGCACGCTCAGATCCACATACTCCTGGGGTAGGGGCAGTTGCGACCCCTACCGACGGCTCTCTTTTGCTGCCCCAGACGCAGCACGGTCCCTATACTTGGTCAAAATTTGATAATGTGGCCTGGGTCCCCGCAGAATACGCATTGAGAACTGCTAATGCGTGCTTGCCATACTCCTTGATCTATACCCAGATCTAGCCAGGGTCGGCCCTGGGGCCGGCCTGGGTGCCACCTTCCCTGTCTGGGGGGTGACCGACTAAAACGGGGACGGTTAGGCGGGGGACCTCCCCTTCCTCCCTCTTGGCGGTTGCCGTTGCCGCCAACCCCCTTGCCGCCCTGTCCTCGGCCACCTAGGGCCCGACCATTTTGGTCGGATCGTTGTCCTCCTCCTTGTGGCCTCCCTCCGACCGCAACAGCAGCGTAGGTTCTCCCCCGGCCTGCGCCGCTGTTCTCCTCCTCTAGTCCCCACTCGATGTCAGAGTAGGGAACCTCGTCAGCACCGCCTTCCATTGTCAGAATTAAACTATCTTTGGCCTTGATTTGGCCCGAGATGGTGCGTCCCTTCCACGTTTTTCCCTTTGACAGATCTTTGTGCCAAAACGTGGTAACTGGCGACGCTTGGGCGGCAAATGCAACGGCCTCCCGACTAAGAGTGTCGTAAGTCATGCCCTACTGGTTCCTCTTCTCGAAGAAATGTCCTTGAATGTTCTCAGGGAGGGCGCGATAGAAGAGGTTAAGGAGCTGGGCATCGGTTACTCCATGCCCAGGGACCGCAATCAGTTCGTCCATAGCGGACTTGAGGGCGTGCACACTCTTCCACTGGCGAGTGTGTATCATTTGGAGTTTGTCGGAGGCTTTGAGCCCCCGCGTCACATCTGAGAATCGCTCCCTGAGCGATTTCAGGAACTCAGAGAGAGGTGTCAGTCTCGAAAACGTCACCATATCGTTATCACAGTTGCAGCGCGGGCTAGCGACCTAGCAAAGCTAGTCGCCTTGTCTCGAAGGGCCTGGAAGGCAACCAAAACATGGTCTTAGGCGTGACTCTCTGTAAGTACACGTAGGAGTGCACGTTGGCCTCCCAGTTATCGAAATGCTCACCCTTCGTTCCACTGAAGGGTTCGGGAAAACGGACCTTGACTTTCTCACGGCGTGGCGGGGCCGACTCCTCTTCCTTAGGAGTCGCTAACTTGGCGCCTTCAATGACGCCAGTATAGAACTCTCGGGTCTTACTAATTGCATTGTGGACTTCGGCCAATAAGTATTTCATCATGTCACTCGCAAAATCTTTGAACCTGGCGCGCATTGCATCTACCTTTACTTCTAAACTGCGAATATACTGCGCTTGTTTGTGGTGTGCAATTAGTAAAGATTGTACGCTCTGAGTCAGGGTGTTGAGCTTCGTAGCTATCTCCGTCTCTTCCCTGATTTTTCCCATCCTTGTCTCCCTCGCTTTCAGATCCTTCTCTGCCGTTTCCGCCGCTTCCAATCGTCTTACCCTCTCTTGGGACAGCCTGTATCTCCATGCCATTTGCTGTTCTTCCACCTTCGCCTTTCTCCTCACCGCGTCCCTTTCTGTCTCAATCTGTCTCCTTGCTGCTTCTCTCTCTTCCTGGGGAATGGCCATCTCGGCCTCCCTATCTTCCCCCAACTCCAAATGTGCGGCCCACTCTTCTGCAATCCTTGCAATCTCAATTTCTTTGCTTGTGCTCGCTTCCCCTCTCCTTCTCTCCAATGGCTCTTCTTCCTCTACTTCTTCTTCTTCTTCTTCTTTCTCCACCTCCTCTTGTATAGCCGCCATCTTCTCCTCCTGCTCCTTCAACTCCTCCTCCATCTGCCTCTTCTTTGCCTCTTGTTCCTCCAGCAGGGCCAGCATCTTGCCCTGCTTGAAATCATTCCCTTTTCTCCATCTTTTCCTTCCTTTCACGCAGAAGGCCAACAACTCTCTCTTCTTGCTCCTTGCTGTAGGGGGTGGTACTAAACCCAGTCCTGGTGGTCACCATGGTGAAAGTGCACAATCAACAACGATTTCGCGCCTCAACACGTGGACCGAACAGGTTAACTTCTATCGAGGGGTTTTGACTCACTACTCGGGCTAGGCTCACGATTTTATGACCACATACACAAAATTCTACCGACCTGGACATAAGTGACAGGGAGATAGGATTGGCTGACTTTGACAGACTTAACGTCAACAGGTACCAAGGTGAAGGTGCACATCCACGGGGTAAGGGGTAGGCCAGGGCATGGAGAGATGGTACCGGTAATCCTCTCGCTCTAGCTGGGTCGACGCTCCGGTCAACGGTCTTGGTCAACTCGTCGGTCAACGCTTCTGGTCAATGCCCTGGTCAACTTCGGTCAACGCCTGGTCAACACCCTTGGTCAACTCTTGATCAACACCCGGTCAACGTTGGTAAACTCCTGGTCAACTCCTGGTCAACGTTGGTCAACTCCCTGGTCAACCTTTAAACCTTCCGGCTATGGCGGACCTTCTTCTTCTTCGTCCAAACCTTGACTTTTCCACCTTGGCTATGGCTGAATTCGTCTCCCTCTTGGTCACCTTCTTCTTCCTTTTCTCTGTCTCTCTCTTCTTCTTGCTGGTCGTCTCTTACCCCGAGCTTGACAGCTATGGCTGCCGTCCCCCCCCCCCCCCCCCCC